CTTGCAAGGATACCATATATTTGTTGATGTGGTTCATAAGTGTTTCTCGTTTTTTATATAGATTAGACCCTTGGTTTTCCTGATTTTGGCTTATATCTCTGAAACCAAAGCATTTAGAGCAAATCTGACAGGGGTAAAATTGTTCATCAGGTCAAGATCTATCTGCCCTGAAATTTTCAGATGAATCTGACAACCCGTTGTTGGGTTGCTGCCCCTGAATTGGTAATTTTAAGAAAATTTTGCCGTTTTTGGTTATTATCTTGAATATTATTATAGATAGAGATAAACTGTAAACAGCAATAATGTTCAGCAAAATAAGATCTACAAATAAGTCAACTTGACCAAAATGGTCAGTTGACCCCTTAAGGAGTAATTACCCTTTATAGTCAATTTTTAACCATTTTTCGTAAATTTTTGTAATCTTTTACAAAAATCTTCTCCTCTGAAACTACTAAGACAAATTTAACCAAACTTGTCCACAATCATCATTAGGGTATCTAGTTTAAAAAATGTGTCCGATGACCCTGCCCATGAACCAAGATGGCCGACATGGCTAAATATAGTACATAGGGTAAAATGCAGTTTTTGGCTCATATCTCTGAAACCAAAGCATTTAGAGCAAATCAGACAAGGATAAAATTGTTCATTAGGTCAAGATCTATCTGCCCTGAAATTTTCAGACCAATCAGGTAACACGTTGTTGGGTTTCTGCCCCTGAATTGGTAATTTTAAGAAAATTTTGCAGCTTTTGGTTATTATCTTGAATATGATTATAGATAGAGATAAACTGTTAACAGCAATAATGTACAGCAAAGTAAGATCTACAAATAAGTCAATATGACCAAAATTGTCAATTGACCCCTTAAGGAGTTATTGCCCTTTATAGTCAAATTTTTACAATTTTCATAATTTTTTAAAATTTTTGTAAATTTTTACAAAATATTTTCCACTGTAACTACTGGGCCAAGTTCATTATAGATAGAGATAATTTTAAGCAGCAAGAATGTTCAGTAAAGTAAGATCTACAAACACATCACCATCACCAAAACACAATTTTGTCATGAATCCATCTGTGTCCTTTGTTTAATATGCACATAGATCAAGGTGAGCGACACAGGCTCTTTAGAGCCTCTAGTTTATAATTTTTTGTTTTCATATATACCGGTACTTTAACAGAAACCCTCCCTCTTTTCCACTGTTGGCAGTCTTTCTTATTTCTATAAAGCAAAGGTATACTCAGACCTGCTAATTCAATCCATTCTGCGATAGTATTACACCAGTTTTGGAACTAAATACAATTTTATGTGCTTCACCACTTACCAAAAGAAAATTGGATATTTACCCAGAAAATCATTACGAACACCTTCTATCAAAAGATGGAAAAATAACATGTTGGCATGGCAACTTATAAATGTTAATATCTAAAAAACATCTCTAGAGATCACTTGTATCGAATCTTATGTAAAAATTCCGAATTCGAAAATTTTAATAGGTCAAGGTCATTGTTATTTAACAGCTGAATGAAATTTGTAAATGTGCACCCTATAAGTACAAATGTCAATCTCAAATCATATTTGGCAGCATAAATATCAAATAAGTCCTTAATATAGAAACTATAGTTATAATCCTTTGAATTATTCGAATTTATTTTGCTATAAATGCATATATGTAGGGGCGGCCAGCTGTCTAAACTTGACTCTGCGTTTTCCTTGAAATTTTAGCTTTGACCTTTGACCCAAATTTAAGAAAATCGTGACAACTGTAGACAACAACGACATCAATATTTCGATGAGGCTTGTTCTTCTCTTTCCAATGATATGAATCACAGCCGTGTGTTATTCTGTTAACCCAAATCAATCAAATTCGTTGACTGGGCACCCTACTAAATAAGAACTATCCGCCAAAGTAAAAATAAGGAGATGTGGTATGATTGCCAACGAGAACTATCCACCAGAGTAAAAATAAGGAGATGTGGTATGATTGCCAATGAGACAACAATCTTCCAAAGTAAAAATAAGGAGATGTGGTATGATTTCCAATGAGACAACAATCTTCCAAAGTAAAAATAAGGATATGTGGTATGATTGCCAATGAGACAACTATCTGCCAAAGTGAAAATAAGGATATGTGGTATGATTGCCAGTGAGACAACTATCTGCCAAAGTAAAAATAAGGAGATGTTGTATGATTGCCAATGAGAACTATCTGCCAAAGTAAAAATAAAGAGATGTGGTATGATTGCCAGTGAGAACTATCTGCCAAAGTAAAAATAAAGAGATGTGGTATGATTGCCAATGAGACAACTATCCGCCAAAGTAAAAATAAAGAGATGTGGTATGATTGCCAATGAGAACTATCCGCCAAAGTAAAAATAAGGAGATGTGGTATGATTGCCAATGAGACAACTATCCGCCAAAGTAAAAATAAGGAGATGTGGTATGATTGCCAATGAGAACTATCCGACAAAGTAAAAATAAGGAGATGTGGTATGATTGCCAATGAGAACTATCCGCCAAAGTAAAAATAAGGAGATGTAGTATGATTGCCAATGAGAACTATCCACCAAAGTAAAAATAAGGAGATGTGGTATGATTGCCAGTGAGACAACTATCTCCACTACGCGTTTCCAGGGAAACTCAATTTGCGACAGTAAAACTACTGATGGACGTCTGAACAGCTTCAAATAGAATACAGTTATCTCTAATCTAGTCTATCTTAATATATATATAAAATTAGTTTTGTCAAAGCAAACACTTTTGCATAACTGGTTAGTCGGATAATCTTTCGACCGATTATCAGAATAGCCTGTAGTTAAGTTGATTGATAAAATCTTTGTCTACAGTACTCTTAAAATATAAAAATAATATTAAAATGTGGTTTGATTGCCAATGACAACACTCAACCAGAGACCAAATGACATAGAAGTTAACAAAACTATATGTCACTGTACGGCTTATGACAATGAGCAAAACCCATACCGCATAGTCAGCTATAAAAGGCCCCTAAATGAAAAATGTAAAGTAATTCAAACGAGAAGACTAACAGCCTGACTTATGTACGAAAAAAAAATATGATATACAGCTACACAAGACTTCCACTGAATTACAGGCTACGACTTGGGACAGTCACATATAGAATTTGACGGGGTTAAATACATGGCTTCATGGTACGATGAATTGAAGTTTATTCGTAGCCATTATAAGGCTTGGCTTTTAGAATTCCTGTTTTAGATATTTTTAATAATCCAATACAACTATATCTACAGTAATAAATTCAGATTGAGAAAATGGAAATCTTCTGGATCTATGTGAATTGACAAAGTATGAACATTCTGTTGGGTATTTTAATTTGAGATGATTAAGCATGTTACTCTACTTCTCATATATATGTTAATTCCATTCACATAATTTGCATTTCCCGGTTTTTGAGTCGGAATTTCGTCTAAATTATGAGAAAACCTTGGACGATGGAAGTGGCATATTAAGGCAATATTAAATCAAAAATGAAATAATGAAGTAAACAGTAAAATTTAATCAGCTTATAATTGTTCAAAATACATACATGTATGATAATTATGTTCTAGAGTTATGCCCCTTTACAAATGGAAAAATTTCTGAAATTTTCATTCCGTTCTTTAACTTTAGTTTGACTCAACTAAATGTTATGAAACTTATGCACAATGCTTATTAGGGATTTTCCAGAATTAATTGTATGGGGGGGGGGGGGGGGGGGGGGGGGTGGGCGGCGGAAGGCACTTTTATTTAAATTTGATGGGTGGTGGTTATTTAAGAAAGATTGCTTGAACATTTAAAGGAAATAACCAATTAAAAAATTTTGCATGGTGGGGTCAAATAAAAAGTGCATTCCGACTTATGTCCCTTCATAACATTATATATGCAAGCGGGGGCATCATCTGTGTCCCATGGACACATTCCCTATTTATTTCAAACTATTATGAATTAATTTTTTAAAACTCTTACACTGAGCTTTGTATGGAACTATGAAAGGTTTTGACCTCTTTTTTTTTTTCATTTAATGACAATTATATAAAAATTCGGAGAAAGTTAACAAATTTTTAAACAGATGTGATGTAAACTGAAATTGAGCTATTTTACAATTTCAGTTTGAAGATCTATTAGTATTCATCTATTCAAGGTCGTGTCAATTTATAACTATAGATAAGTGAACATAATAGTCAAATTGAATTGGAACGATTAATAATTTAGTTTACCAAAAAAACTACAATGTGCATGTGAATATTAAAATTCTAAAAGGGGAGATAATCAAGAACTAGCTGCATGGTTCATTCTAGTAAGTAGCATTACACCAGTTCAGTGCTTTTTAATTCTTTTTTAACAGTATTAACACTTTTCACTCTGCAACTTCTATACAAAAATAACATGAAGAAATTACATATTTAATTTCATTTAAGAGTAAAAAGATAATAAAACATTGCAATCATTAAAATAGGAATTGTATATAACAATAGAGTTGTTAACTAAGAAATCAGCTGTATGAATGAAAGATGGGAGACAATGTTCTCACTAAGGCAGTCAATGAGTCATGGATTCATGAAAATTGGTCTGGACTCATCATTTTCAAAACTGATGATTCTAAAGATGCATAAGGATCATAAAATATTGTATCAACTAAGCATGTATATCATCATATCATTTTATAGCAAATTTAAAAAAAAGAATAATCAAATTTGATATCATTTCCTTTCTCTATTTTATCATGAAGACAAACAATAATTATGTAGCAATAGAATTTCATCTCACTGTTGAAATCACCATGGTCATAAATGAAGGTTCGCTGGACTTGCCTTCAGAAGTCCTTTGTCAGAATCCTAGGAGGTCTATGTCAAATCAGACAGCAACCAATCAATGAGAGATGTCAAAATGGTATTCAATGAGTCTTTATTACATGTTATTATTTCTACTTCAATACAAACATTCATATTTCCAGATTGAACATCAATTATCGATATTTATTTATAGACCCTTGTCCAGTCAATGTGATCCTCGTCCAGTCAACGTGACCCTCGTCCAGTCAATGTGACCCTCGTCCAGTCAATGTGATCCTCGTCCAGTCAATGTGACCCTCATCCAGTCAATTTTATCCTTGTCCAGTCAATGTGACCCTCGTCCAGTCAATGTGATCCTCGTCCAGTCAATGTGACCCTCGTCCAGTCATTATCCTTGTCTAGTCAAGTTTTAATTATAGGTAAGTGTACATTATTTGTGAACTATATATATTCCTCTGATAAAACATTTATAATGGAAAATCCCTTTATTATCAGATTTTAAAAAAAAGGTTTATACTTGATTTAAGAGCGGCATCCAATGAAATTGCTTAGGGCTTTTCCAGAATTATTTGAATTGGAGTGGCAGGGGTGGGAGGGTGGGGACTTTTATTCAAATTTGATGCGTGGTGGTAATTTTAGACAGAAAGACTTAACAATTTTATTATTAAAGTAATCAATTAAAATTTTATGCATGGCGGTGTTAACTTGAAAGTGCATTCCTATGACCCCCCTTTTCCCCCCTGCTAACCATCATGGCCAACATGGCTCAAAATAGAATTTATGGTTAGAATGCAAGTTTTGTCTATTATCTTGAAAACTGCTATAGGTCGAGAAATTCTGACAGGCAGAAATGTTCAGAATGTTTACATCCACCTACTGTCCACTTGAATCGATCAAAATTGGCCTACAACTACTTATAGAAGTTATTACCTTTGAATGACCAATTGTACCATTTTTTCTTGCAAGGTCTACATGTCTGTCACACTGGATTCACCTGACCAGGAGTTCATTTCATGGATCAGTGATCAAGGTTAAAATTTCATGATGAAGTCCATATCTCGTATACCATAAGCAAAAGGTCAGCTATATTTGGTGTATGGAATGCTTGTATGGTGAACATGTTTGTCTGGCAGGATTTGCAGACCTTGATCTTATTTTCATGGTTCATTGGTCAGAATTAAGTTTTTGTGGTTTGGTCAGGTTCTCAGATACTATAAGCAATAGATCAGCTGTATTTTGGTTTATGGTATGCTTGTAAGGTAAACATGTTTGTCTCATGTGTCTTATCTACTTGGTTTATATGACCGTTACCTTATTTTCATGGTTCATTAGTCAGTGTTAAGTTTTTGTGGTTTGGTCAGGTTCTCAGATACTAAAAGCAAAAGATCAGCTGTATTTTCCTTTATGGTATGCTTGTAAGGTAAACATGTCTGTCTATCCACATGGTTTATATGACCGTTACCTTCTTTTCATGGTTCATTAGTCAGTGTTAATATTTCATGGTTATATAAAGATAAGATGTGGTATGATTTTACATATTTTACAATCATGACAAATCTTTGAAAATTATATAAATGCAAAGTTTTTAGTATTTGTTAGTTGGTATTATCATTTGATATAAAAATAACTGAATAAGGAGATGTAGTATGATTGCAAATGAGATAACTATCCACCAAAGTAAAAATAAAGAGATGTGGTATAATTGCCAATGAGACAACTATCTTCCAAAGTAAAAAAAGGAGATGTGGTATGATTGCCAATGAGAACTATCTGCCAAAGTAAAAATAAAGAGATGTGGTATAATTGCCAATGAGACAACTATCTTCCAAAGTAAAAAAAGGAGGTATGGTATGATTGCCAATGAGAACTATCTGCCAAAGTAAAAATAAGGAGATGTGGTATGATTGCCAAAGAGACAACTATCTGCCAAAGTAAAAATAAGGAGATGTGGTATGATTGCCAATGAGAACTATCTGCCAAAGTAAAAATAAGGAGATGTGGTATGATTGCCAATGAGACAACTATCTGCCAAAGTAAAAATAAGGAGATGTGGTATGATTGCCAATGAGAACTATCCACCAAAGTAAATATAAGGATATGTAGTATGATTGCCAATTCCAATGAGACAACTATCTGCCAAAGTAAAAATAAGGAGATGTGGTATGATTGCCAATGAGAATTATCAACCAGAGTAAAAATAAGGAGATGTGGTATGATTGCCAGTGAGAACTATCCACCAAAGTAAAAATAAGGAGATGTGGTATGATAGCCAATGAGACAAATATTCGCCAAAATTTAAATAAGGAGATGTGGTATGATTGCCAATGAGACAACTAGCCACCAAGTAAAAATTAGGAGATGTGGAATAATTAGGGCCCTACGGAATGGAGGACCCCCTATAGTGATCAGGATGTCCGTCCGTCTGTCCATCCATAACAAATTGTGTCCGCTCTATATCTAGAAAACCGTTATTATTTCAAAGTTTATACTTGACATGTATATTAACCAACACCAGAGGGTGTGTCATAATGTATGTACAACTTCCTAGGTCAAAAGTCAAGGTAAAAAAAATTGGTTTTAGTTGACAATCCCATGTCCTATGGTAAAGATCGTGTCCGCTCTATATCTTGAGAACCGTTATGATTTCAAAGTTTTTACTTGATATGTATATATATAAACCAACACCAGAGGGTGTGTCATAATTTATGTTCAACTTCCTAAGTCAAAGGTCAAGGTCAAAAACTTTGGTTTCAGTTGACAACCCCATGTCCAATGATAAAGATACCAATTTTTTACCACACATTATTCACAGCAGGGCCCACAGAGATGGCTCCCATCTCAATGATATCTAGTTGCCTATGAGACAACTATCTTCCAAAGTAAAAATAAGGAGATGTGGTATAATTGCCAATGAGAACTATCCCCAAAAGTAAAAATAAGGAGATGTGGTATGATTGCCAATGAGACAACTATCCGCCAAGTAAAAATTAGGAGATGTGGTATAATTGCCAATGAGACAACTATCTTCCAAAGTAAAAATAAGGAGATGTGGTATGATTGCCAATAAGAACTATTTGCCAGAGTAAAAATAAGGAGATGTGGTATGATTGCCAATGAGACAACTATCTTCCATAGTAAAAATAAGAAGATGTGGTATGATTGCCAATGAGAACTATTTGCCAGAGTAAAAATAAGGAGATGTGGTATGATTGCCAATGAGACAATTATCCGCCAAGTAAAAATAAGGAGATGTGGTATGATTGCCAATGAGAACTATCCGCCAGAGTAAAAATAAGAAGATCTGTTATAGTAAAAATAAAGAGATGTGGTATGATTGCCAATGAGAACTATTCGCCAGAGTAAAAACAAGGAGATGTGGTATGATTGCCAATGAGAACTATCCGCCAAAGTAAAAATAAGAAGATCTGCTATAGTAAAAAAGGGGATGTTGTATGATTGCCAATGAGAACTATTCCTCAGAGTAAAAATAAGGAGATGTGGTATGATTGCCAATGAGACAACTATCCGCCAAGTAAAAATAAGAAGATGTAGTCATTGCCAATGAGACAACTATCTTCTAAAGTAAAAATAAGGAGATGTGTTATGATTGCCAATGAGAATTATCCGCCAAAGTAAAAATAAGAAGATCTGCTATAGTAAAAATAAAGAGATGTGGTATGATTGCCAATGAGATATTCGCTAGAGTAAAAATAAGGAGATGTGGTATGATTGCCAATGAGAACTATCCGCCAAAGTAAGAATAAGAAGAACTGCTATAGTAAAAATAATTGCCAATGAGACAACTATCTTCTATAGTAAAAATAAGGAGATGTGGTATGATTGCCAATGAGAACTATTCGCCAGAGTAAAAATAAGGAGATGTGGTATGATTGCCAATGAGACAACTAGCCGCCAAGTAAAAATAAGGAGATGTGGTATGATTGTCAATGAGAACTATCCACCAAAGTAAAAATAATTAGATGTGGTATCATTGCCAATTAGTAAGGTGCCCAATGTCCAAAAAGTCTTCTAGTTAAAGAGTTTAAGTCAACGGATAACACACGGCTTATTGTTTTTGCAAATTATAGAAAAATCAACAGGGTACCTCCAGATACTGTATTGTACATGAAATCTTTAACATGAAAAATAAAATTATTACGCTCTTTGTTGGTGGTTAAAATAGTACTTTTAATATAGTTTATACATAAAATATAAGATATAACAAAAGCGGAAAGTATTTAAGTGATTTTAGTGTAATTATTGCAGCATTTTAGGAAGACTAAAATTTTCCTGATATTTACCACCTTTTTATAGAAAGCAAAATTATTACGTGTATCTTCACAATATTTTTTACTCTGATTAAAGCAATAAGACACGGTGCATGTGTGTGCCAAATTTCATGTGTGAAATAAAAGTAGTTTTAAAGAAATTAGCAATTAAAAACACAAATTAAGTCAACATTTTGTCATTGATTAAACACAGATTATCCTGTGGCATTAATCATTTTGTTGCTTACACTATTAGGTCATTAACAAGGACAGTGGTCACTCAATACATTTCTCATTTTTGCTTGTTGTGTGGTTGATTTATTTGTTTTGAATAGCTAGCTAACTTCGTAAATTGTTATTTTCTTTGGAGGAATATGTTTTGTGTCTGTTTTTCAATACTTTAAACTTTTTATTGAATAGATTTTTTTTTTTACAATTGTAGTATAAGAATCAAATCGGTCGGTTCCGTTTCACACCTGGAATATGGCACATAAATTAAGTCTATGTTATGGTCCTGCATGATGTTTTCGACCTAAATCCCCCTCGGTGTGAACGACAACAAAAATATATCACTGTTCGTGCTATAAATTATACACCAGCAGACACAACTGCAATAATTTCAAAGCTGAATTGGCAATAGGTTTGTCCGAGCAAACCAATGAAGCCAATGACCTATATGTGCCAAGCTGGCAGCAGGAATTTTTTTTCGGATTGACCATTTGCTTTCATCTGTTGCTACGCATGCTTATTTTTTTCCGTGGCTTTGCTGCTGGAAAATTTATTTTCACTTTTGTACACATTTATATCCTCAACTATCCTGCATTTCATGTTGCAGAGTATTCATTTTCATCCGGTCTTGTGCAAAGTCATTTATTTTCAGTTCATACCAAGCCAAGTTATTGATGTTCAAAATCCTACTCCCCTCCCTCCTTTTGGAATCAAACGGTCATCCCCTTACTGAAATCTTATGAAAGGACGTCATCAATTTATAGTCTGAGAAAAATCTGATCATAAACATCATTACCGTAAAAACAAGGATTCTACTGGTACAGAATTCTTAGAGAAAAGCTAGGATTATACATTCTTTATATGCCTGTACTAAGTCTGAATCGAGCAGGTATTTGAGTGGTTGTCGTTTGTTCATATCTGTC